AACATCCCCCAGCTGAAGGTGAAGCGGGGCCAGATACCTGGGTTCTCTCAGCCCTGGGGGGGGAGGGGCTGGGGACCAGGACTCCTGGGTTCTCCCAGTCCTGGCAGGGGAGGGGCTGGGGGCCAGGACTCCTGGGTTCTCCCAGTCCTGGTAGGGAAGGGGGGGTCTAGTGGTCAGAGGAGGGGCATTTGCTGGCTGGTGGGGGTGGGGCCTAGTGGTGAGGGGCAGGGAGGGGGCCAAGGGCCAGCACTGGGCCCCCCCGACCTGTCTCCTTTGGCAGGTCTGTGCCCTGCGGGTGACCAAGGGAGCCCGCAATCGCATCCTGAAGTCAAAGGGTCAGATCATGACTTTCGACCAGCTGGCCCTGGCTGCCCCCAAGGGCCAGCATTTGCTGGCTGGTGGGGGTGGGGCCTAGTGGTGAGGGGCAGGGAGGGGGCCAAGGGCCAGCACTGGGCCCCCCCGACCTGTCTCCTTTGGCAGGTCTGTGCCCTGCGGGTGACCAAGGGAGCCCGCAATCGCATCCTGAAGTCAAAGGGTCAGATCATGACTTTCGACCAGCTGGCCCTGGCTGCCCCCAAGGGCCAGGGCACCGTGCTGCTCTCGGGTGAGTCCTCCCATCTCCATGGGTGGCCCGGCTCTGTCCCGAGCAACCGGTGTGTCCCCACCGGGCGAGAGGTGCCCCGCATCCCACGGCAGAGGGGCTGTGTCGCCCTGGGCGAGGGGCCCGGCCTGTGAGAACGGGGCTCTCACTGGGGTGCCCCTGTTTTCCAGCATGGAGTCGCCGGCCCTCTGGGCTCTGCATGGGGGCTCAGGCTGCCCCGGGGGCTGGTGGCCGGCAAAGCCCTGGAGACCCTTCTCGGGGGTGGGAGGCTGCGCCCCATGCGGGGGGTTGCTGCTTGTGTAACTCTCTCTCTGGCCCCCAGGCCCCAGGAAGGGACGCGAGGTGTACCGGCACTTCGGCAAGGCCCCCGGCACCCCGCACAGTCACAGCAAGTGAGTGCAACACCCCCACCCCGTACTGAGCTGGGTGCAGGAAGCCCTGGGCAATGGAGGCATGGCCCCAGCATGGGTCATGTTCCTGTAGCTAGTGGGATCCTGGATCCCCGAGTTCTCTGCCCTGCTCTGTGAGGGCGGAGGGGAGGGAGAATGGGGAGGAGAGTCGGGTGGTGGGGGTCCAGGACTCTTGCAAAGTAGGCTGGCACCAGGCGGTGTGTCCCATCCCTGCGGGCGCCTTGCTATGCCAGGAGTTACATCACACACTGGGCATGGAGAGCAGGCAATGTCCCATCCCTGCGGGCGCCTTGCTGTGGGCATGGAGAGCAGGCGCGGATCAGCCTGTGACTAGGCCACAGCAGACCGGGGTGGGAGATCCATGGCAGGGGGCAGCACCTGTGGGCCTCCCGCTAACCCCTCTCCCTTCCCGCAGGCCCTACGTGCGCTCCAAGGGGCGGAAGTTCGAGCGGGCCCGGGGCCGCCGCGCCAGTCGGGCCTACAAGAACTAACTCTGCCTGCCTGTGTCCAATAAATGGGTCAGAACCGAGGCTGCCATCTGCCCCTTTTGCTCATGGGGCATTGCCTTTCCCCTGTCCTTAACCCAGAGGGTCCGCGTCCCAGCACCAGGCCAGCGGTCCCCGGCAGCATTCCCTGTCCACGAGCGCTTGGGTGGCCACCCAGGGGAGAGTGGGGTGCCCCCCAGCTGATTAGTGCCCTCTGCTGGCATTGTGTTTCTGCTGGTGGTGCACATGTTTATATACTCTGGTGCAAAAAAATTATTCTGCACATGAAAACGGTTAGAGGGAATGTTGGTCCCTGAATTCCCAGCCCCCAATGAGGGGGTCCTGTAGCCCCAGTGCCCCTGGGCAAATGGTATGGAGCTAAGTAACCCCTATGTCTCCGGCCCCCAGGTTGTATTTGTCCCCGCCGCTCTCCCATATACAGCAGCTGGGCTGGGGTAAGTTTTAGGGATGCCTGCTGGCCAGTGGGGCTCAGGCTTCCTTTGGGGGCTGTGCCCTGGAAAGGGGGGCGCTGGGCCAGGGACTAATGGTGGGGGGGGCAGTTATGCACATAGAGTAGAGCCTTGTGCCCAGAGAGGCCAGCAGGTGGGTCACAGGGCACTTGGGCAGAGCGGTGCCCTGCCCGTCCAGCCACCTGCAGGGCCAGCCTCCCACCTCAGGGGAGATCTTAAGCCTGGATCCATATCCCAGGTTCTACTCCTGCTCTACCCACTAACCCCCACTCTCCTCCCAGAGCTGGGAGGGGACGGCGGAGTGTGCGGTTCCTCTGCTGTGCCCGTGGCTGTGGGGCAGGAATCTCCACACAACTGTTAACCAAGAACAAAAGGTTTATTGGAGGGGGAGTTACAAATAATCCAGGAACCCACCTGCACATGGAGCAGCTGGGCAGAGAACAAAGCAGGGAGTCAGGCTGGGGGTAGGACCTGAGCTCCAGTGCAGGAGGAGGAGAAGCCAGGGGTGGGGGTCTCTCCCTGACTTTGCCGTTGGCAGAGTCTGGTCTTTCTGCGCCTCGGTTTCCCCTCACCTTTGTGGAAGGGGGAATGACATGGCTCCAGCATCCCATCCCTGGGCCCACCCTCCTGCCTTTACAGGCTAGAATCAAGGGGGCCCCTCTCGGATCCCCAGCCACAGAGGGGAATGCTAAAGGCCCCCACTGGGAGCAGAGGCACCCCCTGCCCAGGCCAGCCCCATGGGCTCGTGCAGCAGGCAGGCCAGATAGCAGCAAATGACCCAGGCCCGCCCCACCTGGCCCTCCATGGCGGGAGGCTGGACCCTGCGCAGGAACCGGAAGCGCAGGGCCTTGTCGGCCAGGCTGGCCAGGCTGAGCACCTGCTGGCGAGCTGCCCCCTGCTGGGTGCTGAGGGCCACGGGGCCGTCCCGCAGGAAGGGGGGCAGTACGGGCTCTGCTGCCCCCTCCCCGGCCTGCAGGGCAGCGCTGCAGCAGAAAGCCAGGAAGCCGCTGGGGGCGGCCAGGGCACAGCCCTGCAGGGCGTGGGGCTGCCGGCCCCGGCCCGCGAAGAAGAGCTGGGCGCAGTCCAGCACCACCAGCCGGACGCCCCCGACCCGTGCCGTAGCGTGGGCTGCACTGCACCGGCACCTGGGGGCACAGGGGCATGGGAGTGCCAGGCCCTGCCCTGGGGAGGGGGGGCTACACCCCTTTACCATGTGGGGTGACCACTCCTCCCCAATCTCTCTCACACCCCCTTCCCATGTGGGGGGAGCCACCCTCCCCAGTCCCTCTGGGCTGTGCACCCTTCCCTGTCAGATGGGGGGCACAGCTCCAAGCCACATCCCCAATCCCCCCAAGCTACTCCCCATTTCCACATGGGGGGCTACCCCTCCAGCCCATGCCCCCTGCTTATGTGGCAAACCGGAGCAGCCCCTCCAATCTAGTCTCTACGCATATCCAGGTAGGAACAGGGATTGACCACTAGGTGGTGCTGTTTCCCGCCCCCCTCCACACACACACCAGGGCCTGGCTGGCTGGGGGGGCAGGGAATGAGGCATGGAGCCAGTCCCCTCTAGGGGGCATCAGCCCCTTGACAGGGCTCACCTGGGCCAGCCGGGTCTCCAGGAGCTGGGTCCAGCTGAGCCAGTAGCGGGAGGCAGTGGCCTCGGAGACGTGGAAGCGAAAGGCCAAGTCCTGCAGGAGCAGCCCTAGCAGCAGCCACACCAGCACCAGGCAGCAGCCACACCACCACCAGGAAGAGCTGATCCTCGGGGCTCAGGGCACTGGGGGGGCCTGGCTCGGCCCCCCGCTGCAGCTCCCCCTCCATCAGAAAGGCCAGGAACGTGGCCAGACGCTGGGCGCTGCTGAAGCCAGTGTAGAACCGCAGCCACTTGCTATCACCCCGGACGCTGGCCAGGCAGAACCGGCCTGGCTCAGCCCGGGCCCCCTGCTCCTTCAGCTTCTGGCTGAGGGCCAGCACCGTGCCGCTGCTCTGCGCCAGCTCCTCCCGCAGCGCCCGCATCCCGCTCTCCAGCTGGTCCCGCTCACAGCGCAAGTTCCGGTTCTCCGCCTCCAGCGCCGCGATCCGCTGCCCCAGCTCCGACGCCAGTGACCAGCACTCGCTCTCGGACCTCTCCTGTGGCATACGGAGCCGGAGATGCGGCTGACGCTGGGGTGGGGCACGAGGGTTGGATACATGGGGACTCTGCACCCCATACCTGAGATGCGGCTGGCTCTGGGGTGGGGTGCAGGGCTGGGACTAGGCATATCAATGGTTAACTGGTTAACATCCTTACCAAGTGATGCTTATAGATTAATCCATGGTCCAGCCTAGCTGGAGCAGCTCCCTGCCCACAGTGTGGTGCTCTGGGCCCAGCCCAGCTGAAGCAGCCCCCCAATGCAGCAGATTCAGGGGGTGATGGGCCCAGCTCAGCTGAAGCAACCCCAAACCCACATTAACCTGTTAACTGATTAATGGTTAACCAGTTGGTGGATGCAGTGATATTTTACATCCCTAATGGGGACCCCTCACCCGGTGCTGGGATGCGGCTGACTCTGGGGTGGGGTGTAAGGCTGGGTATATGGGGACCCTTTATCCAGTAGTGAGATGTAGCTGACTGGGGTGGGGTGTAAGGCTGGGTATAGGGGGACCCTTTATCCAGTAGTGAGATGTGGCTGACTCTGGGCAGGGCACTCCGTGAACCTCCTGCCCCTCCTTGCAGCACAGAGCCCCCTAGGGCCTGGCCCCTCACCTGCACCTCCTGGCAGTGTTCCTGGCTGGCAGCTAGCGCCTCCCGCGATCTCTCCAGCAACTGGCTCTGCTGATGGTCCGGTCAGGCACGAAATTCTCACCTGTTCTGCTCTATTCCAGCGAAGTGACCTTATTATATGGTGCTCTAATTAACCCCAGAAACCCCAGTCTCTTCTGTTTTGCTCATTCTCGTTTAGCTCCCATCATTGTGCTAACTTTCCCCCACCCTCCACCATAGCTGGGCTCCAGAAACTCTGTAGAGCCCTGCCCCTCCCAGCTCTAACCACTAGACACCAGCCCTCTCTCAGAGCCAGAGAGAGAACCCAGGAATCCTGCCCCTCTGTGGGATGCTACCTTGACCCTCGGGCGTCTCTCCTGGCAGCTGGCAGCTCGGGCGAATTCTCCTTTCAGGCACCAGCAGGTTCCTCCGGGCGCCTCTCTCAGCTCTGCGGGGAACCTCGTCCTGCACTTCCTGCTCCGGCCCGTAGTGGGCGCTGGAGACATGGCTGTGTTCATGAGACTTCTTGGGCAGGGAGGGAGAAATGAGAGAGGGGTGGAGGGAGGGTCGTTGACCCACAATTCCCTCCTTTCGCCCCTCCCAGCTGGGGCAGGATAACAACCTACTACTGCTGCCAGTACCCATGGCCAACTCCAGGTGGGTGGCACGACCCATCAATGGGTGCTGGCCCAGGACCCGAGGAACCAGCTCCGTGCCTCAGTTTCCCTGTCTGGGGGAGCATAATGAACCCCAGCCTCTCACACAGAGGGTTGGTGGGAGGACAGGAACACAGATGGGCAGGGGAAGGGGACAGACCCTCCGCTCCCAGGTGTATTT